AGCCATGTAGCAGGAGTTTCGTCTGTAAAAACTTGCATTTGTGGTCACAGTGGTGCCTATGCTAACCTTCCTATGGTGGAGAAATATACCTAGTTGGATGAATCTTATTGAAGCTAGCTGGCCCAGTGGCTAATGTGATGGTCTGGAGTTTTGAGACTGATCATGGGTTCCAACCCCACCCGTGGTATGGTTTATTTGCAATCGTGTGTCTATGATTTCGTGAGTCACGTTGACGGCTTTGAGGGGACTTGAGCTAGAGTTCGTCATGGCCATGCTAGCGGGAGATTCATCTGTAAAAACTTGCATTTGTGGTCACAGTGTGTATGCTAACCTTCCTATGGTGTAGAAATATACCTAGTTGGATGAATCTTATTTAAGCTAGCTGGCCCAGTGGCTAGCAAGATGGCCTGGAGTTTTGTGACTCTCTGATTGCGGGTTTAAACCCCACCCGTGGTATGGTTTGTTTTTCAGTTGGTCGTTATTGGCCATATGCTTCTTTCAGTTAACCTGTTAAGCCACTGTTTCTTATGTAAATCTATGTCATGATACTCTCAGTTATGGGTCTATATTGTGAGTGTGCATAGTATAAAAACAATCCTACCTAATGCAGTTTATGATAAAAACTGCTGACCTCTAATCTTGTGTTTGGTTTAACCCTTAAACTGTCCAAACGTAGATCTACGTCTTTTCAGCATTTGAAAGTACATGGACCCCCGCATAACGATGGCATCACATAGCGATTATTTCGCATACCGCTTACTTTAATCGCAAAAATTTTGCCTCACATACCGCTTAAAAACCCGCTTACCGATTTTCGTCCGAGACGCGGCCTGAGCCACGCTCACATGTTCCGCCGGTGGCATTGTTTACCAGCCAGCCTCCGCGGTAACATCCAAGCATACAATCGGAATATTTCGTATTATTACAGTGTTTTCGGTGCTTTTTCTGGAAAATAAGTGACCATGGGCCCCAAGAAAGCTTCTAGTGCCAACCCTACAGCAATAAGGGTGAGAATTACAATAGAGATGAAAAAAAAAGATCATTGATTAAATATGAAAGTGGAGTGCATGTCTCGAGCTGGCCAGGTTGTATAATAAACCCCAATAACCATCGCTACTATTGGTGGTACAGCTGCTGCTGCTGCTGGCACTGTCAGCTGCTGCTGCTGCTGTAGCACCCTTGTTGGTGTGGCTTATTGAGAATACCAAGAAACAATTAACCCCAGAGGATTTGCCACAGGATAACCCAAAAAAGTCAGTGTCATCGAAGACTGTCTAACTTATTTCCATTGGGGTCCTTAATCTTGTCTCCCAGGATGCAACCCACACAAGTCGACTAACACCCAGGTGAACAGGGAAAAATGCCTGGAACTAGTGCTCATATTGGTGAATTTAAAGCCAGCAAAGGTTGGTTTGAGAGATTTAAGAATCGTAAGTGGCATACACAGTGTGATAAGGCCTGTTCTGGAAGAAAATGCCAAACAGGACTACAGTACTCAGGAGGAAAAGGCACTCCCAGGACACAGTGTCTCATCAGTCATTGCTGCATCTTCAATAAAGGTAAGTGTCATTTATTCTTCATTTAGTAGACTAGTACATGCACAATATATACTGTGCATGTACTACTCTACTATTGTGCATGTATCCTTCTCTTTGTGTGTGGGAAAATGTATATTTCATGTGGTAAAATTTTTTTTTTCATACTTTTGGGTGTCTTGCACGGATTAATTTGATTTCCATTATTTCTTATGGGGAAAATTCATTCACATAGCGATTATTTCGCATAACAATTACCCCTCTTGCACGGATTAAAATCGTTAACCGGGGGTCCACTGTATGTAAAAAAAAGTAGATCATCATTTTTTTTTTTTACATTTGAAAACGTGTAAAAAACTTTGATCTATTTTTTTTTTTTTTTTTTTTTTTTTGTTATATTTGAAAATACATGTATGTAAAAAACCGTAGATCTACTTTTGGAGCACTACGCATGTGAACGTAGATCTGCTTGGACAGTTTAAGGGTTAAAATAACAAGTTTGAGGCATTTTTTAAGGTGGTTTCCATGGTTTTATTAACTGTTTATTGATATCAGTTGATAGATTGGTAGATATACTAGTTATATGGAGATTATTTTGGCCAGTTTTAAACCAGAAGTGGCCTGCAGTAGGCTTCAAAGAGACAGAATTAATAAATTTTTTGGCAGTTTTTTCCTGAGGTAGGGACCCAGTAACCCCCCCATCCTTCTCAGGTGTATTTTAAAGTTTTAGTAAGTCTGCTTCAATTATTAGAGATGGCCTAAACCATGACCAATCATATAATGTTATACTGTATTTGATTAAGCCCAGAAATATGATGTAAAACTTAGCCTTGTTTGTGTAATGAAATGATGGATTAAAATTGCAAATTTCCAAAATTATGAAAAACCCAGGAAAAACGGCTGGCTTCTGGGTTGCCAACCTTATTTTTTATTTTAAATTTTAATTTTTACAAATTTGGGCCCTAAATTCCAGGGTCACTTATTTTCGAAACCAGGGACACGTTTAAAATTACAAAGGGTATGGGATTTACCGGAGGTGGTTGGTAATAAATGGAGGGGCCGGGAAGGGACATTAGGTTTGAGAAAACAATGCTTTTTATCGGTATCGCAAATTTTCAAAAATTCTTTAGGGAAAAAATTCGATGCATCCACATGCGGTTTTCCAGGTACAAGCAGTTGCTCGGTCGATTTTTTGCTTCCAGATACAAGCGGGCCTCAAGGGAAGTTCCTTGATGCTGGTGAGGGGCTCTTGCTCCGATCTAGGGAATTGGATCTTAGTTGTTTGTTTGACTATCTTATTGAAACTTGGGCGATGTATGATGGAAAAGTGCTTCATAATGTACACCAAAAATTAAAGAAATCGGACAATAAATAACGGAGTTCACTTCTCAGATATTAGCCTCCCCATAGCGGTATATTTTCGTATGGTTTTTATGGTTGTATTCTTGTCTTGTTTGGTCTCATTTGATAGAATGGAAGATATACTACAGAGATAGATATGATTTTGATTGGATAGATATGATTTTGATTGGTTTCACGACGAAAAGTACCTTGAAGTTGAGCTCAAATGACAGAAATGTTCAATTCTTCAGCCACGTTCAAGAGTAAACAAATGTCTACTACCTGTCTGATTGGCACTGCCCCCCAACCTTCACATATTGGAAAGCGCTTCAGCAAGCAAAAGTGGGAGCAGACATCATGAGGTAGCAGTGGCAGACATCATGAAGCAGCAGTGGCAGACATCATGAGGTAGCAGTGGCAGACAACATGAAGCAGCAGTGGCAGACAACATGAGGTAGCAGTGGCAAACAACATGAAGCAGCAGTGGCAGACATGAAGCAGTAGTGGCAGACATGAAGCAGCAGTGGCAGACAATATGAGGTAGCAGTGGCAGACAACATGAAGCAGCAGTGGCAGACAATATGAGGTAGTAGTGGCAGACAACATGAAGCAGCAATGGCAGACATGAAACAGTTGTGATTGACTCTTTTGGGTTATCCTAGGTTCTCTACACATGTAGTCAGGAGCAGGAATGGCCACTGTGGTAGCCCTATAAACCCCAACAACAGTAGTGGCCGCTGTCACCACCACTAGCCACATATGTAATGACATGTATTTTATTCATTTTATTGTATATATCATGTTTCTTTGTTAATATTGTTTATTATGTCTTATTAGATAAATAAGCCGTAGAGTTGATATTAGGAAAATTATTGAAGTACTTTGTCGTGCTTGGAATTCCACTGGATCAGATTAATTCCATTTCAGTTAATTTAAATGAGGAAAATTGACTGCAAACGAGCAAATCCAGATGCGAGCAAGGTCACGGAACGGATTAAACTCGTAAGTAGAGTTTCCACTGTATTTTGGATTTTTTTTTTTTTAAATCTCTACAGCGAAAGGATGAAGTTAAGGGTTTTCTTTGTTACTTTTTGAGTGCTGAACACATACAGTATACTATAATATAATATCTTTATTTCTACTTGTACAAGGTATACAGGCCTATCTGACATCAGTGACATACTACTATATAGAAAGCCACTTATGCTGAGCATTTCGGGGAGATTAGGTCAGTTTTGTCTCAGGATGTGACCCACACCAGTCAACTAACACCCAGGTACCCATTTTGTACTGATGGGTGAACATGGACAATGGGTGTCTTAAGGAAAAACATCCTAATATTTTCAACCGTACCAGGGATTCGATCTCCGGACCTCAGTGTGTGAGTTGAGTGCGCTAGCGATCATGCTAATGAATATTACTTTTCAGGTACTGAATATGGAAGATGACATGAATTGGTATAGGGCAGAATTGGATGGCAGAGAAGGACTCATTCCCAGCAACTATATTGAGATGAAAAACCATGAGTAAGTTTTTACATCCTTGGCTTGTATGTTTTAGGTTAGGTACCATATGTTTAAGTTGTATTCTATATCCTGTACAAAAAAAAAATCAGTTTTGTGTGCATTTGCAGTTAAGTATGAAAACAGTGACATAATGACTAATTATTATTTACACTTCATTCAATAGTCTCATAATACATGGGTTACGTATAGGAAAACTGGCACATTAGGTGATGTGAAGAGCATATGGGGAAAATAGGGTTGCATTCATTACACCTCCAAATTTGCAACTCGGTGCTTTTACTTTTGTACTAAGTAAAAAATTGCATTACTATAATATAATCTCTCATTGTTATTGAAATGGATTTGGTGGAGGCATTGTAATTCTATTGTAATGTCCTGGCTGTGAGGTAAGAAGTATGGTTTGAGTCCTGGGCACACAGGCTACTTTAAAATGTTTGCAATATGCCACCCATTTGTGGCATCGTAACATCCCAACATCTCTCTCATGAGGCTGACGCCATGCAGCATTAAACTAGATATAACAGACGTAAAAATTTTCAAAATCTGCTGTGTAAATTGGCCTCTATTTAATTTCAATGTTAATTGCACTATAACTAAATTGGGTGTACAGCACTGCTTTAGGTACACCATAGAGTACCTGAGTGGCTTTTCTTCTGTATTCACGTATGCCATATACGAGTGTTGCAAGGATGGAGCAATGTGTGTGATCGATAATATCCATTGCACTATCCTTTATACTATACAATATAAGGAATTAGTGGAGTGAGTCAAGGCACTATAATACCAGTTTCACAGCATGGCTATGAAGTGAGGAGTATGGGTTCTAGTCCTGAGCATGTTAACTATGAGATTAAAATACGTTTGCTAACATTCCGCTCATTCATGGTGCTGTAACTTCTACTCAGCTTCAATGTTCAACATTTTCTTTCTACTTAAACTGTGCAGGACTGTGTGTGTGTGTGTGTGTGTGTGTGTGTGTGTGTGTGTGTGTGTGTGTGTGTGTGTATATATATATATATATATATATATATATATAATATATATATATATTATATATATATATATATTTTATATATTACATATTAACGATATTATTTATCAGAATATGTTAGTTAATATACCGATTTATAAAAATATTTAGTAATTATATTTAAAAATATATATTATATACATTATATGTGTGTTGAGGGGTTTATGTCTTATGCGTGTCACTTATTTTCTTAATTTCATATATACATTTAATTTACAATACATAGAAAACTAGAGATCATATACTACGAACAGTATATATATGGAATATAAATTTAAAATATTTATAATAATATTAATAATATTCAATTTAAAGGATATGTTAAAAGAATCACGATTGGCTGTTATTTTAATATAATACTTATAGAATAAAGAAGTGTAGTGTGTGGGGGTTATGGCGTGTAGGTGAACATTGACTCAATTTAGAGACCATGCTTAAAAGGGTTACTAGATACATAGAAAATGCTACAAGAGTATTACTACGACAGTAACAGCTTCAGACATAATTTAACCCTTTCCCAGGGTCAGGGTTCCAAATTTGGAAAGGGTGGTACCAGGAAATCGATGGCTTTTTGTAAATATAAATTTTTGAGAGCATAGCATGAAGTGATAGAGCCTGTGGTTCGATGGTAGGGAAAACACAAAGTAGAATTTTAATGGAAAATTACATATAAATGTCTCGCAATTTTGATACTGTCACGTATTTTCGCATCAGCATTTTTCAACTTCCAGGGTCCAAGGCCAATTTACATTATAGTGAACCAATTCTTAGCTATTTCACATAGTAATTTTTTTTTTCTTTTCGATGGCAAGAATTTCAAGGGCAATTTCAAACAAAAAGTACGGGAAAATTTAATTGGAAAATGCAAAATTATTCTCCAATTTAATGTGTCCAGAATTTTCGCAATGCAGGCATTCCGGACTAGACTCCATTTTAGGCCAATTACTTATTCCAGTCGACCAAAATTCTTAGCTATTTTTATAGTTTTACTTCTTTATTCGATTTAGCCAAAGAATTTGCCAAGTCAATGTTTCAATACAAAAAAAGTGATCGGAAAATGGTAATTTGGCCAATTTAAAGCAAAATTCAAAATTTTCTCCAATTTCAAAATAGGGTCCAGAATAAACAATGCAGGCATTCCTGGCACTAAACAAACATTTCCTCTGTTCATCAGTTACATTTTCAGGCTTTACTAATGAATTCCATTTTGATTTTTTATTCACATAATGAATTTTTATTCAAACCTAAAACAGAAGATTTACTGTTATGCAATATTGTAATAATTGTATAAATAATATCACCACATTTGTGAACATATATTAGACCCACCAGCAGGCGTGTATTAGACGTGCGAGGTCATTTGTTTACTCTTGAACATCAGCAAAAATTTAACATTTCCACTACTTTGAGCTCAGTTTCAAGCCATTTCCAATACAAAACCAATACAAATCATCTCTGTTTCTGTAATATATCTTCCATTCTATCATATGAGACCAAGAAATCGCAAATACAACTATAAAAAACATACGAAAAAACACTGCAAAGTTGCTGTTTTAATCGAAAATTACGGTCTTGGTTTCTCTCATTATGCACTATGTGCTGCAGGATTTGTTTTATGTGGTACACACATACCACATAGATGTATTCTCTCATATCTAGGCCAAAATTTACCGCTCAAAGCTTATCAGAGTGAGCTGAGCTCATGACGTAGATCTACGGTTTGGAGCCTTAACGTGAAGCCGTAGATCTACTGCACGGACCCTCAGAGGGTTAAGAGTGAAAAAAAGTGATTAGCTTTATGGCAGTTTTCACTTATGGCGATGGTCTGGAACCTAACCCGCCGTATAAGTGGGGCTTTCCTGTATTGATATGGAAATAAGCAGACATGAAATTGGAGGCCAGGGAGCATTGTACTCAACTGCTCGTCAGTAATTTTGTCCTTTTTCTTTTTCCATTTCCTTTTCTTTTTCTTCTTGCTGCTGCTGTGTCTTCCCCCCCATTCCCTGCTGGTATGCCTACTGTAGTATCTATTGATTGCAAAACAAAAAATGCCTGTTCAACCATCAGAGTTGGTAATTTGGCCAGTTTTATGGGATAAGTGCACTTGTGAGAGCTTTGTTAATTATTTTATGACTTTTTAACTCTTGCCCATGCTTGAAAAGACTTGAGTTTTACCCTTTAAAATCTTACTTTAGTTGATGATGATAAGCACATTCTGTATTCTATACGTGAGAATGTTCAGTATGATTTTGTGAAAATGAAGTGGAAGAAGCAAGGAGAGATTGTAAAGAATTTAAAGTGTAATAGGAAAGGGTGAAATAGATGTAAAGTATGGGTGATATTATCTAGTTATGCATTAATTTTATTCCTTTATTGTGCATAAGATAATTCAAGGACCCCTCAAGAGCTCTTCATAGACCCCAAGGGGATGGCAGATCATAGTTTAACCCTTTCGCTGACTGTACCACAGTACTATCCCTTTGAGTTCACTGGCCATGCTGTTGTACTATACCATGAGCCCAGCTCACTCAGATAAGCTGTGAGCTGTAAATTTGGGCCTAGATGTGAGATAATGGGTTGATGTGGTAAGTGTCCACCACATAAAAAAGTCCTGAAGCACGCTGTGCATAATGAGAAAAACTGCGACCTTGTTTTTGGTTTAAAACAGCAACTTTGCAGCTTTTTTTGTGTTATTTTTATGGTTCTTAGTTTCATTTGAGAGAAAAGAAGATATATTACAGAAATTGAGCTCAGAGTAGTGGAAATATTTGATATATGCTGATATTCAAGAGTAAACAAATCATGTAACTTATCCAATACACTACCAACTGGTGAATCTAATGTGCGTTCACAAATGCACTGATATTATTTATACAATTGTTACAATATTGCATAACAGTACATCTTCTATTTTTTTGTGTGAATAAAAAAAATCAAAATGGAATTCATGTGTAAAGCCTGGGAATGTAATGAACAGAGGAAATGTTGTTTTAGTGCCAGGAATGCCTGCATTGTTTATTCTGGACCCTATTTTGAAACTGGAATATTTTGAAATTTGTGTGAAATTGGCCAAAGTACCAATTTCTGATTACTTTATTGGGTATTTGAAATAGCTGATTGGGTGATTTCCTGTGCTCGATATAATGGAAGACATACTACGGAATAGCTAAGAATTTGGTCAACTGGAACGATGTAATTGGCCTAAAATAGGCCTCAAAGTGGGCAAAATCGTTGATACGTAAATATTGCTGACACCGCAAAATTCATGAAAGTGTAATTTTGTCGGTTTTTGATCAAATTTCATTCTTTTTTATTTATTACTTTTAGAAAAAGATTCTCTACCATTTCATAAGCAAAAGTAACTTTTTTTTTTTTTTTTTAAATTCTTGGACATTGTAGACAAGTTTCAGATCAGGGTCTAGACAGTTAAAGGGTTAATAACTACTGGTGTAGTGGATGTCTGAGGAATGGTTGGGAAGAGGGTGTGAAGGAGGTAGGCCTTAAGCATCCAGTAGGCATGTGTAAACATATTAGATCAGAACAAGTGGTCAAGGTGGATTTTTGGGATTTGATGTGATGCTAGAGTATAAGCAAGCATATGAAGGAATTCATGGAGTCTAGATACCTTGTTCTGGAAGCAAAACGTACAGTGCCTGCAGTATGAAAGGTGGATGGGAATTTTATTTTTTTTATTAACCCTTTGACTGTTTTGGTTGTATATATACGTCCTGCCAGATGACTGTGAAACAGAAACCTGTAACTGTTTTGCATGATGGTAGGATTGCTGGTGTCTTTTTCTGTCTCATAAACATGCTAGATAACAGGGATATCTTGCTACTCCAACTTACACACGGGCTGGAGTTTTGAGACTCTTTGACCGCGGGTTCAATCCCGGCCGGGGGTATGGTTTATTTGCAATCGTGTCATTACGATTTCTTGAGTCATGTTGACGGCAGTGAAGGGACTTGAG